GAGTGCGCGCTGGAGAGCCCTCCCTATATTAACACTGTTATTATAATGCAAAGGTTCACCTTTTTCTGAGCTAAGGAGCTCGGCAGCTAGGCCTAGAATCCTGGCGAACCTCTCAGCCCCAGAAGAGATGCCGCCTAAAGTTCATACGGCCGCGCTACAAGCTCCGCATTTGTTCGAGCATGGCCAGTTCTTGTGCTGCTGCTTAGTTCGCAGCTTGATAGTGGGTGGCGTCTAGAGATTATGGGTTTTTGTACTTGTCAAGTCCCTCCGAACCTTCAAGCAGTTGGTAATGTAGACCCATGTTTAATAAACCTCCTCCCTTTAAGGGCTTAAACGTTAGGATCCCTACTATAATCCCTATTAAGGGGAGGGGGTTTCTTAACCCTAAACCAAACACTCAACCCTAAACCCTAAAAGGGTTCGCCTGGCAGACCCTCACACAAGACGTGGACAAGAAGGTGGCCTTTCTGGGCTCGCGCAGGCCTGCCAGCTGTTGTGCCAGTCCTACTCAGAACAGAACTGACCATTATAGGGTTTTGTAGGGGTTTCATTGGTGTTATATAGGTGTAATTTGAGCTTATACAGGGAAAACATTCTGCAAGATCCTATTCAAATTATCTAGGCTGTGCGTTCCACAGTTCAGGAAGAGCCCTCAAAGTCACCAGGCCGGGAGGAGAGGAGGTTCCCGGCGGGGAGAACCTTGCGCGTGATCTTGATGCCAGGAACTTGGGTTGAAGTTTGGTTTAACTGGGGTCTAAAAGGAGGGTATGGATCACCACAACATACATACATGTGTTGTCATATGATATCATATGATATACATATATATATATGTATATATATATGGCGTGATATATACATGTGTGTATATATATATACACAATATATATATATGTATATACACATACGTGCGTAGGGAGCAACCACATTTCTACAAGGGCTTATAGACATCGTGGCACGAGGGTACTGATTGCTTTATGCTTCTGGGATATTTCCAGGTATCTTTTTGGGTGAGGGAGCATTCCATGGGCTCATTTAATGCGGGATTACAGGTGCAAAGGTAGTGAGCCAACTAACTAATTAGCTGCAGAAGCATTGTTTAATTTCTGGTTCAGCTAACAGTTTCACCGCTGTCTCTTTGCCATGCAGCAGGCAGAGAGGCTTGGGATGCTCTGGGGTCACATGCCGGTCTGTTGGAGGATTTTAGCTGAGTTTGGGAATCGAGGGTGGTCTGAAGTTTCTAAAGCATTGTGCATCCTCAAACATCAGGCCCCATAGCCTCAAAGCGACACCAGAGGGGATAACAATTTGGCAGCCCCAAGACTCGAAAGCATATGACGTGAATCTAACTGGGAAGACTGGTGGCGCGTTCAGCCCACATCGGAAGTATTGTTTGCTAACCAAAGGCCATTCGAGTCATGTTGCCTCACTGCTCTCTGGCTTATCAGCCATGGCACTCCTGAACGTTTTTTTTTCTTGAAATGTAGTGGCCAAAGCTCCTAACCCCTAAGGCAACCCCCTTCGCAGTGTTTCTTGCCTCACTTCAACACAGACTGCTAAGCCTTTCCTTCCAAAACTTCTCTCCTTGCACCCTTACTTGAGGTCATGTAGGAAAAATGCACGATCCCTCCTGGTACCTTTAGTTGGGGTTACAGGGCTCGATGATGGAGAAACAAATGGAAAAGAAAAAGGATCATGAAATGGAACATGAGAGGATATGAATAGGGATTTAGGTGCCAGGACCCTCCTAGTACCCTTAATAGAGGATAGGTGGCGGGTCTAGGTTATTTGATTGCAATTTCAGTCTTGTGCTGTTCGGTGCCGAAAGACATGTGAGGAGCACGGGGTAGATCTGCATATGGTAGGTTATGAACATGACGGTCCGTTTTGAGGGTCCCTCCCAACTGCGGCCTCTAATATAGCCTAAATCCTGAACCCAAAAGCCTAAACCCTAGACCCTAAACCCTAAATAGGGACCATAATTTGGGCATGTTTGGGCAACATCCCACGCCGAGGCTGTGAGATATGACGTGGGTGAGCTGAAGGACACATGACAGTAGCTTTAGTGACGCGCAGGATTTGTTCTACACCGGCAAATTGGGGGGGGTACCGTTAAAGGGGTTTATAGGTGGATATATGGGGGTATATAAGGTTTATGTTGGGTTTAGGGTTTCCCAAAATACGGTTTTTTTTCAGGTCCCAACAGTAAGGTTTATAGTATTTGGGGGTCTATATCTGGCTCCCCTTATGTTGGGAAGTTACCATTAACTCGTTCAGCATCTGAATGTCGCGAGAGAGATGCAGAGATTCTTGCTCAACTTGCATGTGGCAGCTAGCTGCGCCAGGACTTGCTGAATGGCGCCAAGCAAGACACTGACCACGTAAAGCGAATAGTTCTGGCCTGCGAGAGAGACATGGAGGACAGACATCACGCGAAACATGATCCTATAACATGGCACGGTGGACCCCAATATAGACCCCCAAATACTATAATCCTTACTATTGGGACCTCAAAAACACCCTTATTTTGGGAAACCCTAAGCCCTGAACCCAATATTAACCTCATATACCCCATATATCCCCTAAAAACACTGGGCTTGCGCTTTGAAGGCATTTTTCTGCGTGGTGCTAAGAAGAAGGGCCAACAACCAATGGCCAGGAAAGACTCAGCTAGACGTGCGTGAGCCTTGACGCTGCCGAGGGCCATATGAGTAGTATTTAATTTGGGGATACTATGGTACCCAATATAGAGTAAGATTACATGCTCCTTTTGGGGTATAGTATTTCCTATAAGGAATATAATCTTACTAGGTTCAACCACCAAAAAAACACTACTCATATGTCCACAAAACATGCACGTAGTCTTGCACTTCCGGCATGGTGCCTCAGGATTTTACAGCTGCAATGGACGCCGTGAATGTTGACCTTGATGAGATGCGTGCGAGAGCTACCTTTCCGAATAATCTGTGGACCTAAACGCTAAACCCTAAGTAGTAGTTTCCATTTTTCTTTTCCATTATCCCAAAAGAAACCCTTATATAACCCCTATATAGGCTCTGGAGCCAGCATGTTTCGATTTGGGCTGTGGAAGTAAGGTTGACTCCACCCACTCCATCATCACCTCGCGCCAGCGAGTGGAGGCCACGTGCGATGTTCAAGGGGGAAGTTCACGCCAGGCACTCCTGCAAATGATTCTTGCGCCGGTCCTGTGGATCTTTGGCGACGGTTTAATGTCACCCTCCTCGCCGCTACGACCCCAAAGGTCCCGACATTCAACCCCCAAGCTTCCAAAATTGCAGGTTCGTGCTTTTGATCAGCTCCTTCTAGGCTCCAGTTCTCCCATTTTCAAGATCGAATTTGCAACAAGACCAGGCTGCTCCACGTCTACGCAGGGACTTATCTCGCAGTGATTAGCGTGTGCTGCGACACGCCCTGCTTGTACGGGCTGTCAGGATGTGCGTTGGAATTCCTGAAGAGGTGCTTTCTAGAATCTAGAATGGGGGGACAGACTGTTATCAAACTGCCGCCAGGCCACGGTTACGGCCGAGATCTCGACTATGCGCTTAGACATGGGAGACATGCAGGAGGAGTGGTTGCAGAAGTCGGGGTGTCTTGAAGCTGTCTGACAGGTGGTGTGGACCCTGTTAAGATATAGCAATTAAACAGGAGCTTTGCTGATGATATGATTCTGCTGCTATCGGGCGCCCGACCAAGCTTAATACCCTAACTGTTTTCCAACGGGGTCAAGACCAGTTTACATGAAGACACCATCATCATGCCCTGCTGATACCCTGACACTTTCACCCCAACCTTGACCGATATTCAGCTTCCCAATATCCACGGCTGCGTATTACATGTACTCTGCTGCGTGCCAGGAAATAAGGCCATGAATATAATGCCCCACAGTGCCAGCAGCGACCACATTTGGTGATACACGCCCAGCTTTCGTTCAGTCCAACTGCAGGCGCTGAAGGCACACGATGCCTGGATGGAAGATGTCTCGCAGAGCCTGCAGGAGGCGTGGGCTAAGGGCTTAGGAAAGTTCAGTGCCTGTGCTATTAAAGGACCTACGCTCCTTGTGGTGGATCTTTGTGACGACTAAACGGCGCCCTCCACTCAACCATCGCGCGTGGCAACGGAGGAGCTGACGTGCAGAAAAATTGAGGCCCTTGGTGACTGGGTAGGCTCAAAATAGCCCAAAAGCCTGATGTAATATGGCCTTTGGGCCCCAAAGCCTCAAAATGTGAGTCCTTAGAGCCTTAGGGCTAGGGTTCTCATAGCTCGCTGTTTCTTGTGAGTGCTTGGACTAAGGACTTGGCTATCAAACTTGGGAGAAAACATGTAGACATAAATTGTGAAGAAGACATGTTAACGATGCCCAACATTAGCACACTTTCCTAGGTGCTCCTTGCCTTACTGATATTCCCTTATTCCCTACTGACCCTAGACCCTAACTACATATATATATACACATACATATATATATATATATGTTCATATACTTACCCATACCGCCTATACCCTTATTACCTACTAGCCCCCAGTAAGTTGCAGGCACATGAGCGGTGCCAGCAGATTGGCATTGACATCAACGAAGTGAACCAGCAGATGCAGGTCCGTCCAGTTTAAGTTTAGCAGTCTGGGCCCCCGAATAACAATTTTGAGGGGCTTATGGTTAGAAGTATCGGCCCCTCATATGGACCCTTAGGCCTTTTAGGGGGATTAAGCCTTAAGGTTACCAAGTAGTGTATATAGTGGGCCAATCCCCCACCCAGTAATGGGTATCACACGGGACTACTGTAGGTACATTAAGGCCCTAGTAACTCCATATTGAGGAGCTACTACTATGGTAGGGGGAATTGACCTACGGTATATAATAGTTTCAACAAAAGATCCAGAGCAGATTGCCCAGCCGGTGTGAGGACGGTCACTGCCTGGATTCAGGGATTAGGGGTTTAAGGTTTAGGGAAAGGGGTTTAGGATTTAGGGGTTTAGGTTACAGGGTTTTGTAGTTTAGGGGTTCAGCATTTAAAGTTAGGGCTTAGGGTACCCAATCTTCATGTCAGAACGGAGTCAGCGTAGAGTTTTCGCGCCCGTTACATAGGGTATCAGCAACCACGTGAGATGTGCAGAGCTGCAAGCAAGTCTGCTAGGCATCGGCCATGTTACTACGGATTTTGTGCGTGCGTAAACTGCAGCCAGACGTCGAGAGGTGGCATTACAGACTCCTTTAATTTAAACACAGACAAGGCTGGATGATGCCTTGCTGAAACTTTCCCTTGCAGGTAAAGCTCGACGCGAAGACCGACATAGTGAGCTGGAATGACATGAGCTTCGGCAGCATTGTCAACTTGCAAGAAGCATTAGCTTTATGACGCATGCCTGCAATGCACATGTGTGGGAGATTCCTCCGCTGCTGCCTGCGTTTCTCACACTTGTTGGTTGAATCGTCCCCGCGAAGATCATGTCTCAAGATGTTTCAAGCGGCTCCTTGTGAAGCAGTCTCTTGTGAATGCTCATTTCTCGTCATAGTCTGACCCACAGGAATCGAGCGAAGCATTATGGCCCTAAACCCCAAACCCTGAACCCTTAATAGCAGCTTTCGTTTTATGTTCCGTTATGCCAAGATACCCTAATTTTACCCCAATGGCTACGCAAGTGGGTTAGGTTAGCAGCTAGCAAGTTCTGTCTGCAATCGCCGCCCTTGGCCCAGGAATGATGACATTGACGCTTCCATCAGGACAGTGATTTGACTGAGCTTGGGAGACGCTGGTGATTACTTGGAGGGTCAGGGGACTTAGTAAGTAGGTTAATAACCCCTTTGACCCATATAGTAACCCTAGTTATCCCTCTTATTAACCCACTTACTAAGTCCGCCTGACCCTCCAAGTACCAGTTTTGCAGCAACAAGAACTCCCAGCTATTTTAGTAGTACCACATTCGATGGTACTATGACTGGCGATAGCCCCCCTTATGTAGATAGAATACTGCTTTGCCCATATTACGATAAGATCCCCATATACCCCATATTCTATCTACTTCAGGAGAACTATATGATGACTCGTTCCTAAGTATGGGGCAGCCTGAGATCTGACGGAATCAGCGCGCTTGACGTTCCACGCTGCCCGAGGTGAGAGACATGGCTTCCTCCTTGCGTTTCGAGGCTTCTCTTTGCTTTCCTGAGATTATGATAACAGTATTCTTACTGGTGCTTGGCTTAGTAGATCATAAGAGAATACGATCCTAAAGTAATATGTCCCCTTCTTCCCTACTAACAAGCGCAATAAGTTTTTGTTTCACTGGGTGAGGGGCCTTCAAGGAAAGCCCCAGGAAAACATTAGAAAGCGTCTGGGAGCGCAGGGTTCCGAAATAGTTGACAGCTATCTGCTCGGAGGGCTGAGGGGACTCAGTAAGTAGATTAATAATGGGGATAGCTGGGGGGCATCACGTGGCTTACAGGGGTTAATAACCTACTTACGACGGCTCCCTGAGCCTTCAAGTAGTAATATGTCCATATAAAACCCGAAATGAGCCCAGTTTCAATGTCTTTTCCAATTCGTTCTCCATTTTTGGGCCGTATATTAAGGTTTAGTTTAGGTTCCCTATCTGACCACTATAACATGCCTTCTGGTTCCTTCTGTATCTTTTCAGCTTCCATGGCCTGATCTTGGCTAGTTTCTCTGATCTTGATATTCAGAGTCTGCATTTTGTACCGCCCGCTTTGTCACTGCCAAACCGTCAGTGTAGAAGCATAAACAATTGCAGATGTTGTTTTTCTATATTCTGGAAGACTATGGTACAGGGTAGGTCGAATAAACCTCAAAATGAGCTGTAGTCTAAATGCCTTAGGGGGGGTATACGGGGGAATATGTGCGGGAGTATTATTGGGGTTATCAAGGGACACACGTGGAGTTTAGAAAATGGCTCAAATCGCCTACTGTTTCTGCTACCCGTTGATGCACATTACTAGCTGTTTCAACTATTTCTTGCGCAAGCTCCTGGTATGCTGTCTCGTCCTTCCAGTAACTGACTCCTTGTCCGCAATGTATTTGACAAGTTTCAGGCTTGGGATACCGCCGTTTCTATTTCGGTGTCCATTTGATTTTCCATTTTGGGGTTGTATTATACACCCCTTTCAGCTCTATCACGGCTATATATGAGGCCCCTAAACCCTCAGCTGCTAACTGTCAGGTTGACAGCAGGCGCCGCAGGGTGGACGAGGCGCGACTCCGTAACTTGCTAGGCCTGTGAAGTTCCTCCAGCTTACCGTCGGTTTAGGGTTTACATAGGGCTTTGGTTCTGTAGCCAACATAGGGTTATATAAGTGTATTATAGGGGTATACAGGGATGTTACCCCAACAATGGAAAATCGTGGAAAGTTGAGTGGGCAATGGGTTGATACAGAGATTTATGGCTTCATGGGGATAATTACCAAGCATATCGTTCTAGACTCCTCGCAGCATTTTGCATAGCGTACCTCAAATACACTGCAAGATGCTAATGAGAATTCATTACTTAGGCCCTTGTATAACACGCCAAACTAGTCCGATCCGACGGACTTGCCAAACAGGAGCTAGCCCGGCTGCGTTCCGAGATGGTGTCGATGGACGAGAGGGCACCAGCTGCGAACTTGAAAGGATGCCCATGGGGACTGTTTCAGTTTAGGATTTAGGGCCTTAGGGTTTTAGGGTTTAGTGTCTGGCATCAACGAGACGAGATGCAAAAAGGGCTTTAGGTAGTATATACAGGAATACTAATCGGGTCAGATAGGGATAAGACAGGGATCTCCTACATAGACCCCCTTGAAGGTGGAATTTGGAGTCAGGAAGTTGGCCCTTGTACCCTTCAGGTTTTTACCCTTGCGTTAGGTTCCGTAAGCCACGGCATACAGCGGTTTTAGGGTTTAGGGTACAAGCTATAAGTCCTTGAGAGATCATGAAGCATCACCTTCGCGCGAAGTCATTCCTACGGTGGAAAACGCTCAAGTAGAAACCTGCGGGTCACAACCTGCATCCTCTATTTTGTAGGTATTAAATAATGTATGGATAGCGCTGTGTTTGGTAATATGCCAGGCGAGTCTTTGACTGTCGCAAACGCTGCAAGAGAATCGATGTCAGTGACCTTCACGGCTCCTTCTATCTCCTAGTCTAGTATGCCAGGTAGCGGCCAAGACCAGCGACGTCCAGCGTGGCTTGGGCTGAAGAAATAGATTACTAAACCCTAAGTTCCAAAAGTCTGTAAAGGGGATTCCCCGCAGAAGCCTCTATGCTGGATCAGAACTGGGACTTTCAGAACATCATGTTTTGGGCATCATGGGTCATTATTTGTTCCCAATGTAGTATACTCTATTAGATAGGAGCCCAACCAAAGGACCCCTAAATTTTGGAAACCCTTGTACATCTTCTGCTCACTGCAGAGTTAAGTATTTAGTCCCGTCCTTGTTCCTTCTCCTGTATCTACATACATGCTCTCACCAGAAATTCGGGTCCCCCATCACCCCCGCAAAGTGCGGTCAAGTTCCACCACTCTACATACTGCGCGGCGGCGGGGCACTTTCTATGCAGAAACTCTAGGCCCTCCAAGAGGCCTTGAAGCAAATATCGTAAACCCATAGTGCTTTGAAGGGCTAGGGGGACCTTAAACCCAAATTCAAACCCTAAGCAAGCATCCTGAAGGCCAGACAGATGAGAAGACTACAGCGATATCGTGCCAAGTGGATGAGGGCGCACAGCATAGACGGGAACTCGAGGCAGGGGCAAATCGCAGGGGGGTTTAGGGATAAGTATATAGGGTTTTACAGAAATTTGTAGTACGGAAATATAGCGCTGATATAGACATATGCAGGGCTTCTGGATAAATAGGGCTTGGGGCCTACATCCAAGGGCTCCTATGGTCTCCTTTTGGGGTTTCTTATGGTCTCTTAGCTATAATATACAATTAGAAAAGGAGCTAAGTAGGAGGTTCCGGATAGACCTCAAGAGTCAGCAGCAAGGTTTAGGCAGAGAGGTTTAGGGTAAAGGGTTGTCATGCTACAGATTGCTTGGAGTTTGAAATAAAGGGGATTGGACTTTTAAGCCTTGTCAAGGGAGTTGGCCTAGGAATTGTATTATTGTGGATCTGATGTTTAGGATTTTGCCAGGGAGTTGGCTTAGGACTTGCATTGTGGATTGTGGATTTGAGGTCTGGGCCTTTTCTTGAGACTTGGCTTAGGAGGTCCACCATGCCACGCGGGTCTAGGGGTTGTCTCAGGACTTGGCCGAGGGTTTGGTTTTTGGGTGTACGATTCAGGGTCGACCTCGGGTCAAGCATTTCGGGATTTAGGGTTCCATGGCTGAAGTACCCTGATGGACCTGGGGCTTACGAAAAGGTCAGGGAACCTGCCGATAAAGGTCTCTGTCAGATGTCCATACGGACGCTCTTATCCATCGTATTATTTTCTGGGATAAGCCTTACACCCTAGACCAGCTCACAGAAGAGGCTCGCAGGGCTCGCCCACAGTTCTGTTGGTTTGAACTTATCCATTCATAAGCTGTCCAAATAATGGACACTGTTGCACTACACTGTCAATAGTAACATTCTTACTGCTTTTACACGTCTTATATCACTCCGTTCTTCGACTTTCTGCCGTCATTGCAGCTTCTGTGGTTTTCGGAAATAGGAGTTCCACCGGTCTTCTTACTATTGTTACTACTTACAGGCTTATCCCCAGTTATTACAGCTATAAACTTTCTGGTTATGCTTATTCCGACAATTCTTAGTAGTGTTGCCGTTAGTACTTGTGTTAGCCCCCCCCAGCCGTTGTAGCATAATGGAATATATGGCGACTCCAATATGCTTACAAGTATCCTTTGTGGTCACCACTAGTGGGCGGGGGCCTAGCCTAAGTCAATGCTGTTAGTACCATCATTCCTCAATATGAACTCCTAAGCCCTCAACCCTGAGTGCGAACCGCTAAGACCTCAGTCGCAAACCCTAACCTCAACCTCAACCCCTCCACCCTTAGTTTCAAAACCCTCAACTAAAAACCTTAAGCCCCAGACCCCAATTCCGAGTCCTAAACCTCACGCCCTAAATCCTAAGCAAAAATAAGAATAAAATCCTAAGCCCCAAGCCCTAAACCCTTAATCCTAAACCTCAAGCCCTCATTCCTTATTCTAAACCTTGGGTACTGCCCCCACCCAGTAACAGTCTATATTAGGGGTCCTATTAAGGGCTATATATAACCCTATTATATTCATAATCCAACTGTTACTGAGGGGGGCAGTACCCAACCTAAACCTCAAAACACCGATATCATAAAGCCGTGGTTGCCAGGCAACCTTGGGTCGCCATGCAGAAACTCACAGCCTCATTCAGGGTCAGGCCTGGGGTTTAGGGTTTAGGGCTGTATTATGTTACAATGGGGTAATATAGGAATATTGGAGAATCACATGGAGAATCAGATGGAAAATCCAATGGAAACTACTACATAGCATATTTGGTTAAATTGGGGTTATATAGGGAACTATGTTTGGGTCGTTTTGTTTTGGATTAATGGGGATAAATTTGGGCTTGTAGGGTTGAGGGCTTAGGGTCGAGGATTTGCAGTTCAAACAGTTTAGGGTGTAGAGGTGGCCGATTTAGTGAGATCCACCGATCCACATGGGGATTTTCGGATGTTTGTTTCTGGGTTCGGTGCTCGTTGCCGTAATCTGTAGTGAGGGGTACAGTGGGGATTACGACCGGAGTTGTTTGAAATGTCGACCGTTGTTGAAGACGGTTCAAATATTGTTTATTGCAAAAAGCCAATACAAAACAAAAAGATAGCTGCAGCTTCTTAATCCTACCCCAACAAGGCATTACTTATGAGGTTGAGGGCTTACCGTGGTGACTGACAGTTGATTGCATCTTCTGCTTTCCTTGCTTAAGGTTCGCCCTGTTAGTTGGATGCTTACAGCAGGAGCTTCCGAAACTTGGTGTTTTGCTGGTGTCCTTGGTTTGGTTTAGGTTTTAGGGTTCATATAGGAGATTGGCAGAATTCCGAACCACCCAAAGAGGACCTTTAGCAACCACCTGGACAAAAGCCTTGAGACCGGCGCAAAGTAGATTGGGGTTGTATTGGGATGATGCAAAACAAAATGAAAACTATTAGGATCATATAAGGGTATATATAGGGGTTATTTTGGGGTAATGGAAAAGAATATGGAACTATAGGGATTATGTAGGGGTATATAAAGGGGTTAGATTGGGGTAATATTGCCAAGCGGCTGCCAGGCAAGGCGCAGGGCACCCCTAGGGACCCGGGCTTCAAAGGAATTATCAGCAATAGTCATGTGTGCTATAGTCTAAACTCCTTAAAGGGGGTTATATAGGTGACTATATACGGTACTACTATAATGGTTATTAAGGGGGATACTAGGAGTTTAGACAATGGCTCATGTAAACGGGAGGCCTGTGTGCAGAAGATAACGGGATGGACCATGCCATGCAGAAGCTATCACTCCCCCAAACTAACATGGAAACCCAAAAAGGGCCCCATAAAGACTACAGTCCCTTTAAAGTAGGGGCTATATGGGTTTCCATGTTAGTTTGGGGGAGTGTATCCCTTTCTTCATTTGGCCAAGTACTTTGTCATGTCTTGCAGGATTCACGTAGGCCTAGACCCTAAACCCTAAAGCCTTAGCACTGTGTCTCTGACATTTCAAGGCCCCATTTTAAGTACAGTGTTCATTCCATTTTCCATGTTATCTTCATGTGGTTCTCCAATGTATTTCCCTGGCGCCCTGTATGTTTTCATCTTATTTCATATAGCCCCCATAATATCTCTATCTAACCCTTATATACTGTCCCTCTATAACCGCTACAATATCCCTATACAACCCCTAATATATCCTTGTCTATCCCTAAACTATCCCTATACAAGCATCCCCAGTTGCAACCCTAACCCTGCAACCTTAAACCCCTCAACCCTAAACAAAGTGCCCGGCAGATCAACGGTCAGCGCGATGAGCTCGAGACCCGGCTGGGCCGGCTGGAGTCCTCCATGAAGAAGCAGGCCAGCCGATGTACTTGTGGGGTCAGGGGGGGCTTAGTAAGTGGGTGAATAATGGGGACAACTAGATTGCGTATAGGCCTTATTAACCTACTTACTAAGTCCCCCTGACCCCTGACCCTCCAAGTGGGGTTTGGGGTGGTAAGAGCATGAACACGTGAACGACGTATACATATATACGCATACGTATAGCATATCCATCTCACTATCTCTTTCTCTATCACCCACATGTATGTATGTATGTATGTACGTACGTACGTACGTATGTATGTATGTATGTATGCATGTATGTATGTATGTATGTACGTACGTCTAAAAAGTAGTACTGACTTGCCGGAAAATTCTACGTGCTCTTTCTGGATGGGCTTTGCACTGTTGTACATCCTTCCCCCAAATCCGGTTTCGCTGATTTAGGCCGCACGTGGATGCTTTTTCAAGTCAGGTCGGGTTTCCATATAATGGGGAGAACAACTATATAGAGATATGAATACATAGACCCCAACATACTACAACCCTCATTTGAGAGACCCGTGAAAGGGGCCCTCACTCTTGGAAACCTCAACGTTGCACAATAACTCCCTTTCGTGCCCCAATGTATGACTTTGGAAAGATGCCCCATTTTCATAATTCATGAAAATTATTATGCCTCAATTCCTAAACCTTAGCCCCCTAACCCCAAACAATCCCTTGAGCATATCTTCAATCTTGACACCCGCACGTGCACAGGGCGAGGACCTCCAGAAGTCTGCGCACGATCGCATGGACAGCATGGAGCGGCATCACCAGACAATGACAAAGGACCTTTTTGCTTTGGAGCTTGGAGTTAGAGTTAGTGTAGGATTTATTCGGGTTTTGAAAGCCCCAAACTGAACCCCAAACCCTAAACCCTAAATCCTAGACCAAAAGCACAGAACCTAAACCCTAAGCCTTAAATCCCAAAAAAACATGTGCCCAACTGCATCCATGGCACCCTTCGCCTTCGGGATCCTAACCCCAGCCTCTATGCTCCCTGAGTCTTCTTGTACTTGTGGTATAGGGTAGGGTTTAGGGCATAGGGTATAGGGTACCTCGCATAAGACTTGACATATTTCAGGATCATTTCCTTAAACCACCACGTCCATTTTATGTTCCATTATCTTATCTATTGGGTTCTTCGTTGCTGGTATTTGTTTAGGCCCTTAAAACCAAAACTCTATATAACCCCGATTTAAAGCCCCTACATTTGATGGACTTCGAAGGGATGGTTTGGGCACATTGCAATACGTTACAATTTCTGAGTTCTACTAACTGGAGGAGGACAAAACCCCATAGGGTTTCGGATTTAGGGTTCAGCTTCGCAACATCAGGAAATCCGGACCCCATGCCTACAACCGCTTGAGAACCCCTCATCTCTGAACTTTGGACCTCAAACCCGGTTAAGGGTTTATGGTCCATTGCCATATACCACCTTTCAATCGAAGGTACACATTTTCGTTGCAGACAGGTTCGTCAAACTCCTACTCACGCTTGGAAGTTCAGGGGGGCTTTGGTGAGTATCTTATTGTTCCCTATAAGCTGTATGATGACCCCATTTTCCCCAATCGTTAACCTACTTACTGAGCCCTGGCCGTGAAACCTAATTTTTCAGTGCTACGTCAGTTTGCGTTTCTTTTCCGCTTTGAGTTCCCCTGGCCCCAAGAAACCCTAAACCCTCCATGCAGGAGAGTGGGAAGCAGCTGAACGCCTTAGACCTTCGAATGGCGGCCCTGCAGGGTGCCAGTGGAGAGCCATCAGACTGAGAATTTGTGGGATAGTATAGAGCTTTATCGGGTTATGTATGGGTTATGTGGGGGTTACATGGGAATTGTATAGGGTTTAGGGAGAATCCCCCCAATAATGGAGAATCAACTGTAAAGGAAATTGAAAGTGAAATGGGAGTTCGTTTTCTATAGTGGCCTGTGGAGATCTCAGGCTTCGGAAAACTAGTCATCCCTTTATTTGCGGTCGTCACATTCAGGATGATCGTACCTTCGGCTCAGTATTGGGTGCCCTGTTTATGGAAATCCCAATGTGGAGGGCAACATACATAAAGCTGATGGACCAGCCAGCGATTAATTAACGATATGTCTTCAGCGTTCACAGATGGGTTTGGAAAGAGGATCAAGTACTCCAGGTCGAATCAGAATACTTCTTATCAGACCTGCCTTTAGAGAAACTTGACTACAGACCAGTTAGCCAAGATGTTGCTGTGTCTGGCTTTCATGAGATGACAGCATATTGCAAAAAATGGCTTTAGCAACCCGAGCCCCCTACATAAGAATATTAGTTGCTTCATATGATACCGATTATAGGGTCTTAGTTTTGGGGGTCAGGGTGATATTAACCAAATTGTTAGCTCATATTGAGCTTGGCTTGTTGCATCAGGCCATAAACCCTAAACCGCAAGGTCCAAGCGCGACATCAACAAGATCCGCGACGAAGTCAATAGCCTCACTGCCTAGCCCATAGATCTGGGTTTAGGGTGTAGGGTTTAGAGTTCAAGGTTTAGGGATCGAGGGTTTAGGAGTCAGTCCAGTTTAGGGTGAAGGCTTGAGGGCAGTTTATAGTTCAGGATTTAGGGCCTAGGGCTCAGGGAAGTGTAAACATGAAAGCTACAATGTCTGTCATAAGGGAGTATGTAGGGACCACTTGATGGTCTGTACAGATTTCTGCGTTGTTCGATAATGTTCTATGCGTTTCCTTGCTGTATCCGTCTTATCCGTTAAACAGCTGTCTGGACTGTAGTTGCGCGCTTGCGTCACTCCATATCTGAGCACGAGTCTAAACTCCGTAAAAGGGGCTTTGTCTGGGGCATTATACAGGGTTACTAGGAGTTTAGACTATAGCTCATATACGGCTCTTGCTAAGGGCCATGCTAAGCAGGTTGACTGTCGCGGCCCTGAATCCGCATTCTTTCCACACCCAGGTCAAAAGTGCTGCGCATGATGTCGACATAGCAAAGAACAGCGACGACTTGCGAAAGCTTGAGCGCGGGGGGCCTGGAACCCTCATAATCTAAACCTGAAACTCATGCAGCAGTATACTGGGCTGGAGTGGCTGGCATTTTGCTTCTCTGCTTCAGCTGCGCAAATATTGAATGAAGCCGTGTAGCTTCAGTTGATGGAAGAAATCTTGCACTACCCTATTATACACTTCATACCCTCGGAATCCTTAGGAATTGCACTCTGCTGGGGGTTCTAAGTGGTGCAGATGTCCCGCGCAGTTTCTCGCCCTTTGAAGTCGCCAGCCATTTCTGGGAGTTGTGAAGCAGGGCTTCTGCCTGCATTCTCCAGTACACAAGTCTGAATAAGAA